ATGTGGTTGAAGTGGAGGAATGCTTCGGGCCTTTGTGTGATAGAAAAGTACCACTTAGACTGAAAGGAAAATTTTATAAGACGGTGGTGAGACATGCAATGTTCTATGGCGCTGAATGTTGGCCTTTAAAAGAGAACCATAATACAAAGTTAAGTATTGCCGAGATGAGAGGTGGATGAGTGGATTTACACTTAGAGACAAAATGCGAAATGAATATATCCGGGATAGGGTTGGTGTAGCTCTGGTGACGGAAAAAATTAGAGAGAGTCCTCTTAGATGGTTTGGTCACATTAAACGTCCATCTAATGATCTGATTGGGAGAGTATATATTTTAGATTCGACTTATGTTAAGAAAAGCAGAGGTAGGCCTGGGAAGACTTGGGCTTATTGTATAAAAATTGATCTTAATTTATTAGAATTAATTGAAAATATGACACTAAATAGAACGCAATGGAGAAAAAGGATTCATGTAGCCGACCCCACGTAGTGGGATTAAGGCTTTTTTGTTGTTGTTATTGTTGTTATCTAGCCTCTCAAATTTTTAGCACATACTTACCAACGTCAAAGCCTTCATCAACTTTTTAAATAAATCATTTAAACCTAGTCTGCGTTTACTTGAACTGCATAAACCTAGTCTGCCTACCAACAAAACGTAACTTCCCCATTTGAAGTCCATAAAAGTTGTTTGGAGTAAAACGTTTTATTAGAAACCAAATTCCCACATAAGGCTTTCTACGTTTTGCTATTCCAGCTCTCTTGTCAACAGATTACTTCACCTATCAAGCTCACAAAAATTTTTAGGTACTTCACCTCGTGCTTACAAATTAGTGTTTATTTTGATAGAGGCTGCATCAAATGACTTGAAGTTGAGATAAGAAGACAGATTAAAATTCGCTAGAAGGCTAAGAGTTTCAATACGGATATTATACTCATTGAGTACCAATCAGTAATATGAATACTAGTTTAGACATCCAGAAAAGTTTTGCATAGCAGACCATACAAGTTTCAGTTGGATAACATGACTACTTGAGCTTGATTATAGAAAGCTGTACTAACTTCCAAAGAAGATGCACCATCTCCTACAGAATAATTTGATAATGCTCGAAAGGTATCCGTCTTCTGGTCCACTTCATCTGCAGTATATGCTGCATTCACATTAAAAAATTATTAAAAATAAAAGAAAATTAATGCAACAACCAAAATGAAGGATGAGGATATTAAAAATCATATTACACATTACAAATAGAATATATGTAAACTACAATTGCTAAAAAAGCTTGTACAAAGAGCATTCTCCCACTCCTTTGAGTGATGTTCCATTTAATTAATAAGTCAACGAAGGTGAAATAATAAATACAAAAAGCACCGTGTTCCTATTTGATAAATCTCTACTCCATATGTTACCTTATCTTAGAGAAAATTATAAAAATGGTCCCCTGACTATTTGTGGGATCCATTTTAAACCTAAACAATATAGAAGATTTAATTTAATCTTTAAACTATTAAAATAAGAGCCAAAATGATCCCACCATTAAAAGTAATAAAAATTGAAGTTAAGGTAGTTGGTTGGTGTTAAAAATGAGAATACTTTAGGAATATTTATCTTCTTGAAATATTTACAAAATCTAAATTCCTACTCACCCTGTTTGAATAAACAATCAATAACATGTCCAATATTTTTTACTTCATTTTCAAATGCTATGAGATGAAGTTAATACACTAATTTTAAATTTTGTTAAGTTACAAAAAATCCCAAACTTAACAAAAAACATTTATTACAATTTGTAAAAGTTTTATTGTATTTCTAAAATTCACTCATTTTTAACACCATCTATTTACTTCCATTTCATTGCTCAATACTTTTGATGGCGGGACTATCTCGACCCACATTTTAAGAGTAAAAGGGTAAATTGAATATTTTATATAGTTCAAGATTAAAAATAATCCAGAAATCATTTTGGTCATTTCCCCTCGTATAATTACATGCTAAGAAGACAGTAAAATATTTTAACTCACATGGATTGAATAAGGAATAAAAGACTGAGGAGGTGAAAAGAATAAACCAAATCTAAAGGGGTGAATTTTCATAGACTGCAAGCTAACTTATTAGCAAAGCTTTCATATATATAACTAGAAAAAGTTTTATTCTAATCCAAGGGGGCAAGGGCGATCTTCACTAACCTTGGTTATGAAAAGGAGCTTAAAGTATGCTTAGAATAAAAATCAGTTAACGCTAGCATCTCTAGGAAAATATGCATATGACGGAGAGAGGGCACCAGTGCGAAAAAGAAAGTATGCAAGAAATCGATGATGAGAAACAATAAAAATTATAGTGATGAGGTTAAGCACTAGGAATGTTGGGAATTTTTGCTCAATAATTTAGTTGAATATGTGCATATGTAATTTAGGGGTTTGTTAGAATAATAACAAATTATTATTTGCTTTAAAGATTAAATGATGTTTGAAGTTTTTTTAGAATACTTTATTATTTTAGATAACTCAGATCTATATTTTAAAACCAAAAAACTTTGAAATCACCTCCTTAAGTCCCATAAATAAGAAAGCCGAGCTCACTGGCCGCAAGTGCTTATAAGTGCATGCATTGTGCATGCACTAGGTAGCACATGAGATAGCTTTGGATGTGTGGACTGTGCTCAATATGTTAGGAGAGACTAGAAGCTTTTGAAAAATGGTTAAATAAAAAATAGCCTTGGAAATTATTTAATAAGAGCAGAGAGGTAGAAGAAGAAACTATTTTCTACGATCTTATAGTTTAATTATGCCAAGTTGCAAACATAACCAACAACAACAAAGCCTTAATCCCACTACGTGAGTTTGGCTACATGAATCCTTTTTCTCCATTGTGTCCTACAAGTGTCATATTTTCATTTATTTCTAATAAATTAAGATCATTTTTTAAACAATAAGCCCAAGTCTTCCTAGGTTTACCTCTGCCTTTCTTAACATAAGTCCAATTTAAAACATCTACTCTCCTAATCAGATCATCAGATAGTCGATGCTTAATGTGACGAAACCATCTAAGATGACTTTCCCTAATTTTATCCGTCACAGGAGCTACACACCCTATCACGGATATATTCATTTCGCATTTTGTCTCTAAGTGTAAAGCCACTCATCCACCTAATTATTCTCAACTTGACAACACTTAACTTAGTATTATACTTCTCTTTTAAAGGTCAGCATTCAGCGTCATAAAGCATTGCAGGTCTCACCACCGTCTTATAAAATTTTCCTTTCAGTCTAAGTGGTACTTTTTTATCACACAAACGGCCCGAAGCATTCCTCCACTTAAACCAACCAACTTGAATTCTACTATTAGCATCACCATCTATATCACTATTGCTTTAAACAACAGACCCAAGATATCTAAATTGTTCACAACTTTTAATAATTTGATCACACAAAGTTACACTTTTGTCACTAGAGCTACTACTACTAAAATTACATTCCATGTATTCAGTTTTAGTTCTACTCAAATGAAGGCCTTTAAAATCCAATGTACACCTCCATAATTCAAGTTTTTCCTAAGCTTTTTCTCTCATCTTATCCACGAGAAAGCATGTCATCAACAAAAAGCATACACTAAGGTACATCCTCCTATGAATGTCCAGTAAGACCATCAATAACTAAGGAAAAAAAGATATGGACTTAATAATCCAATAGAAATAAGAAAATATTTGGTCAATCCTCCTTCAGTTCTAACACAAGTAACAGCTCTAGTATACACAGCTCTAGTATACATATCTTTACATATCTTTAATGACTTGAATATAAGTCATATCAACACCTTTCTTCTCAAGAACTTTCCAATGGATATCTCTTGGAACCATAACGTAAGCTTTTTCTAAATCAATAAAAATTAAATGTAGATTCTCCTTATTATCTCTAAATTTCTCCATCAAACTTCTCAATAAATGTATAGCTTCCACAGTAGACCTGCCTAGCATAAATCCAAATTGATTATGATAAATTTTTGCAATGTCTTAACCTATGTTCAATTACCTTCTCCCACAGTTTTAAAGTATGACACATCAATTTAATTCCTCTATAATTTGCACTCTTCTGCATCCCCTTTATTCTTAAAAATGGAGAACAAAATACTCTTCCTCCACTCCTCGGACATCTTTTTAGTTTTTAAAATAATATTAAAAAATTTAGTAAGTCAGGAAACTCTTAAATCACCTAAACATTTCCACATACTTCAATTGGGATATCATCAATTCCTACAAACTTTCCACCCTTGGTTTTCTTTAAAGCCTCCTCAACTTCTTTTTACTAATGCGACGGTAAAAATGAAACTTTTTATTATTATTAACGATATTAAGATCATTAAGGTCGATCGTATTTTTAGAAAATTCATTAAAAAGTTTATCAAAATAACTCACCCACCTATGTTGAATTTTTTTTCGAAGAAAAACACTTTTTTATTTTCATTTTAATACACTTTACTTGGGTTAAATCTTTACTTTTCTTTTCTCTTTTTTTGGCTAATTTATACATATATTTTTCACCCTCAAAATATAATCAATTATAAAGATCATTAAAAACAGAATTTTTAGCGTCACATATTATTCTTTTAGACTCCCAGCAGGTCATTTGATATTTTCTCAGTTCTCTAAGCTTTTACATTTAAACCAATTTTTATAACATAACTTTTATATTTTATCTTTTCTTGCACATTATTATTTAACCACCAACTATTTTTATTTAAAGAAACTTTTTATTTTGATTCTCCAAGTACATCTTTTGCTACATGTTTAATAGTGTTTGTTACTTTATCCCACATAGCATTTGTTTCATCATGAATATCCCAAATTTTTAAATCTTAAATTTTACTCATAAAAATAATTTTATTTGTGCCTTTTAGGTTCTCACATCTAATTCTATTATAATGAGTCCTAATATTCTTTATTTTACAACTCTTTATCTTAAAATCTAGAACTAATAAATGATGTTGGATACTTAAATCCTCACTTGGAATTATCTTACAATCTTTACAATCTAGATGATCTCTTCTTCTCATAAGAAAATAATTGATTTGTGTTTTATTAGATCAATTCTTATAATTAATAAGATGTTCATCTCTTTTATTGAATAAATTATTAGCAATAACAAAATCATACGCTAAAGGAAAATCTAAAACAGCTCTACCTCTTCATTAGTCACTTCAAAGCTATAGCCACCATGAATATTTCTAAAATCTTCTACCACTCTACCGACATGTTCATTTAAATCTCCTCCAATAAAAATTTTTTCTTCAAGAGGTATCATTTGTAGTAACTCTTCTAAATCATTCCAGAATTTATTTTTAGACCCTATATTTAAACTTACTTGAGGATCATAAGCACTTATAATATTAAAAATCTTAATATCAATGATAATCTTAAGGGTTATAATTTTATCTCCAACTCTATTAATTTTTACAACATTATCTTTCAAACTCTTATCTATAATTACACCTACATTATTTCTAGTGATACCTGAATTCTAATGTTTAAAACTTGAACTATCAATTTTTTTAGCTTTTTACCCATCCATTTAGTTTCTTGAATACATAAGATATTAATTTTCCTATGAATCATAATATCAACTAATTCCATTAATTTACCATTGAGAGTACATATATTCTAAGATCCTGTCCTAATTTTAGTTTCATTAATTTCATGAACAAACTTCTTTACCCACATCTATCCATAATGTGGAAATTCTTGATTATTTGACACTACACCCGGGCGCCAGTGTAGCGCCCTTGCACGCTTTTTACTACATTCAGACTATACAGTGCGTCGCTTCCACGGGACGTCCAAGCACTTACACAAAGATCAAAAGGATTCATGTCATAAGAACTCCCAAAACGTGGAAATCTAATCATTAAATCATTATAGATTTACTTCTGGTTCACTGCCAATATGACCACCACCTAAATAAACAAGACACCAAGGAAATTATATCTCTTATTAGCATAATCATAACCTAATAAAGCAGCACTCTATTGAATTTTTTGCAAATAAATTGTATTAGTTGCATTTTGGTCTTTTGCATCGTATAGATAGAAGTTAAGATATCTATATCACCACAGAAAATACATTTAAAAGAGAATATTGTCAGCGAGAGGAGCTAGAATAATCGAGGGTGAGGAAGAAGCAAAATGAGTTAAAGAAAAGAGAGGGAGGGAGGGAGGGAGGGAGAAGTTGTGCAACATTATGGAGATTTTGAGATAGAAAGCAAGAGGGAGTAAGCAAGAACAATTGAAAGAGAGATATAATAAGAAAGAAAGTTGGGAAGAGAGATCTAGAGAGAAAGAGAGAGAGAGAGAGAGAGAAAATAAGAGATTAAGAGGGAGAGAGAGCAGAATCCTTTCCATTTGTCTACTCAGTAGATGCTAAAGTAAAACAAAACAATCATCATTACAAATAAGAAATATCAAAGTTCCAGATAATTGGCACTTTTGTAATGAAATTTTTAATATTAACGAAAATTCATTTTCTTTTCTACCTAATGTTGAACCACACCCATATTAAAAAAGATGATTTAACAGAATAACAAAAAACCAAAGTTTATACTACTAAGCATGAAGAACATAAAAATCAAATGATTACTCATATAGAAAGATTCACAGGAAAATTAAGATTGTTCTAGAGGATATTCTTTTTTATGCCAGCTACAGTATTATTCTTTATTTACAAAGGTGGAAATTTCACGTATCAAGTAAAAAGTATTATATGAGGGCTAGTGCTCGAAAAATACACAATGTACTTTACATGTAAGAGCAAGTACAATGATATAAGATTTGCAAGCTTCACATAATGTTCAAGAGTCACAGAGTGATGCATGCACGTTGCAATAAAATTACAAAGAATCTAAATCAATTTTATAAATCGTACCTGAAAAGATCCTTGGTAATGATGCACCATAATAAATAGAAATTTGTTCACTAACCGCTCATTTCATGGTCAGTACTTAAAAAAGAAATATTTTAAAATTAGAAAAAGGGGATACATATATATCGAATATCTAGGTAATAAACCAAACCTAGCAGAAATTAATTGGTTGAACCCCCTCACGCAAGCTGCAACCCTCAAACTCAAATCCCTTGGCCTCTTGTTTGCACTCAAGCAACCAATTACTATGTGATGCACACAAGTCTTGCTATATTGATCCCCTTTGCCTCCTCAACTTGTGAATTAAGAGGCTAATAGCTAAGCATCAACTATTCTCCAATTTCCTCCCCATGAAGGCTGTCGAAAAAAAGTTTCCTTTCCTTCTCCTTTGAGACCTCTCATCCCTAAAGCCTAGCCGCAAAGCATCCATAGAGGAGCACAGTCTTCTCTTTCCTTCTCTTCAACTGAGCAAATAGAAATAGTAAGTCATCTTCTTCTTCCTCCTCTCCATCTCTTTCTTTTCTTCTCCTCAAAATTCCTCTTAACTCCCAACAACAAATGTCACAAAACTTTTGGGTAATTCTTTTATCTCATTTCACACATTAATAAAATAATTATGATTTATAGATCTTTCTAGAAGAGCCGCTTAATTGTGCGAGCCCTTATTCTCATATTTATTATAAATTATCTATAAAAAATAAACATATGTTATATTAAAAATTGAATGCTTGAGTGTGATTGTGCATAGATCAATAGAATCATTATGGGTAATGACAAGTCTGGCTAACTAACCAATAGAATGATGACTCTATTAAAGATTATTTGATTTTCATAAATCATTTATCTTCCTAATTTGAGAATTTCTTGACAAAAATTACTATAGATATATATATATATATAACGAGCCCCAAGCGACCCTCATGAGCCTAACTATTCCATGACCGCCCTCACTACCGGCAAACTGAAGAGAGGGGGATTCTTGCGACGTTCAAAGAGGTTGCTCTACCAACAGGTCACAGTTATATATATATACATATATATATACATATATATATATATATATGTATATATATTAGCATTATATTATATACACACGCACGTGTGTGTGTGTGTAATATAATGCTAATATAAACATATATATATATAGAGTCTTCTTTGAAAATGTATGATTATATCTAACAGGTTTTGTATGAATATAATAGAATAAAATTAGATGATTTACAATTTATCATATAAATGATCAGAAAAACATAATAATAAAAACCATTTTTTTAAATGTCAATTTTATTTATTACTCCAAGTATATAATAATCATATCTTCTATTATTCATGTTACATGCCTTAGTAACTTTTCGTTTATGATTTAATAAGTCGGGGTTATTTTTAAGTTTAATTTATCAAAATCACTCATAATAAATTTTTCACAATATAAATTCTACCAAGGGCTACCATCGCCATAGGAACAGCTTCTTTAGTAGCAATCTTTCATTCAATATTTTGAAGATTATTTGTGGTAATTTTGTTTATGTTCCAGTTAGATTTGAGTAATTTTGCTTCTATAATTTTTGCTTTCATTTTTTTCATCAATCATTATTAGTACTCCATTGTACCAGTATTATAAACTCTATTAATGAAAAAATATATATTATTTACTTTATTTTATTTATTATTTATAATCGTTTGTGTATAAATCTTTTTCTTGTGAGCACAAACAATTTTCAATCGATCTTGATACAACTCTTGCATCATGCTACGCATTGTCGAGTCAAGTGTACCACTTTCCTGGCAGAATGTGACAATCCATAACCTGGACTCTACAATTTTATATTTAAGGACTCTACAGTTTTGTAGGACTCATCTAAACTAGCAAATGTTGAAACCCGCTTAAAATTTAACAAAAAGCCAAAAGGAATGGAAGGCTAAAAGAGAACAACCCGTAGGTAGCAAAAAATAGAACAAACCGTAGGTGGCATAAGCAGCAGTGCCGACAGCACTCGTGATAGCCGCGATGGTCCCGAACTTGAGCAGGCCCCAGGTTCTTCCGGAGCCGGTCACGCCCGAAGAAGATGAAGGAGGAGGCTGAGGGGTCGCCGGAGGGGGCTCGTTAAGGATAGCGGCGGAGGAGACGATGTGTTCCTTCGGAGGATCCGCAGAGATAGTAGAGGAGCTGAATGGTCTGGCCTTTATCCTCGAGACGAAGGGAGCAAAGCGATTCCGAGCGATTCGAGACAGCAACCTCTCCATCAGGAGAGAGTTCAACTCCGCGATCGGTTGTGCGAGGGTTCAAGGTTCGGGCTGACGTTAGGGGTCGGGAGAGACGAACGCTCCTTCCGGGCAAAGCTGTATGAATCTAGATGTTTTCGTCTATTCAACCGCACTAATTCAGAGTTGCCCCGACCTGCTTCCGAACCGACGGGGTGCAAGGACTGTAGGCTATGGCACCAATACTCGTAAAAATTGTAGGTTGGAAATAGTATTACATCAGGGCAATAAAATTAAGTAGCAATTAATGATAAAATTAAAATTATTAAATTAAATTATTACCTATTTTGTGAGTCACGGAGTGCACTGTTTGGACAAACCTAAATCGAACTGCACATATTTGTTTGATTTTATTCGATTTTGAAATAATGATTCGGTTTTTTACATTAATTTTTTTAATATTTATTTTTTTGGATTAATTTTAATATTTATTAAACCAAATAAACAGGAAAAATTGAATAATATTATGATTGCAAAATTAATTTCATTTGGAAAAATAAATAAATTGAACAACACCAACAACAACAACAAATTTTTATCTCGCTAAGTGAGGCCGCAGCATAAATATTTTTTTCTTTATTGTGTGCAGCATAAATACATATTTTTAGTTAATTCTAATAAATTAAGATCATTCAGCATAAATATTTTTTTCTTTATTGTGTCATCTTCAGTGTCATATTTTTAGTTAATTCTAATAAATTAAGATCATTTTTTATAGAACATGCATAAGTTTTGTTAGGTCTGCCTCTATCTTTTTTAACATACGTCGAATCTAAAGCATCTACTCATCTAAACAGATCAGATGGTCGATGTTTAATGTGACCAAACCATCGAAAACGACTCTCTCTAAAATTGTCTACCACAAAAGCTTCATTTTGCATTTTGTCTCTGTGTCAAGCCACTCATCCAACTAAGCATTCTCATCTAAGAAACACTTAACTTAGTTTTATGCTTCTCATTTAAAGGCCAATATTTTGCATCATAAAGCATTGCAAGTCTTACCACAATGTTATAATATTTTTTTTTAGTCTAAGCAGTACATTTCTCCACTTACGCCATTCAACTTAGAATTCTACTATTAATATCTCCATCACTTTGAAGAATATACTTGAAATATCTAAAACGTACACATCTTTTAATGATTTGATCACTCACTCCTACAATTCTACCACTATATCTACTGTTACTAAAATTACATGCCACATATTCGATTTTTGATCTACTGAACGGAAGGCCTTTAGACTCTAATGTAGACCTCCATAATTCAAATCTTTTCTGAACTCTTACTCTAGTCTTATCGTCTTATCCATGAAAAGGATATCATCAGCAAAAAGCGTACACCTAATTATATCCTTCTATAAATGTCTAGTAAGAGCATTCATAACAAAAGTAAAAGAGAATGGGCTTAGTCTATCCCTGATGTAATCGAACCGAAATAAGAAATAATTAGTTAATCCTCCTTCTATTCGAACACATAACAGCTCAAGCATATATATTTTTAATGACTTGAATATAAGTTATATCCACGCCTTTCTTCTCTAAAACTCTCCAAAGAACTTTTCTTGGAACCTTATTGTAAGCTTTTTCTAAATAAAGAAAAATCATATATAGACTCTTCGTACTATGTACTTCTCCATCAAAACTCTTAATAAATGTATAGCTTCCACAGTAGATTTGTCTGGCATAAATCCAAACTGATTATGTGAAATCTTTGTTTGACGTCTTAAATGCTCGATTACTCTCTCCATAATTTTAATGTATGACACGTTAAATTAATTCCTTTATTGTAAGCACACTCTTGTGCATCCTTTTTATTCTTAAAAATAGGGACCAAAATACTCTTCCTCCATTCAAGCATCTTTTTAGTTTTTAAAATAATACTAAAAAGTATAATAAGCTAAAAAACTCTTAAATCTCCTAATTTTTTTTATATTTCTATTAATATATCATCAAATTCTATTGATTTTCCATCACTGGTTTTGTTTAAAACCACTTCAACTTTCCAGTATTAGCTTACCTTTACTAGTAGAGTTCTCTCAAATTCTATTTGTTATTTTTCTAAGACTTCTATGTTTTTCAAACTACAATTAATTTTTGAAATGAATAGAAGAATTAGAATTCATAGAGTTGATTGCAAAATATTCTTATGTTTTATTTCTAACCTAAATTATTAAGAATTTCCTAAAGTCATGACTACCAAATTTACAGGACAAAACTATAGAGGACTTAAATGAAACCCACTACCACATATTAAAACTTGTTGACATATTTTTCAAAAGAAATAAGTTACTTGAGGAGAAGTAACAATTAAGTTTGGGGGATTTTGACATGCCCAAAATATGTTGTTTTTATTGTACATTTAATTCCTCTTTTTAATTATATTGCGCTTTAATGAAATGTATTTTTGATATTTTTGATTGTAGGTACACTCAATGGAGTAAATTGGGTAAATGGAGCAAAAATGGAGCAAATTGGACTCAAATGAAGCAAAAATACCAATGTTGATCTTGCGCTAAAATCTGGTGCCTAGGCATCAGACAACAGAGAGCCTGGCGCCTAGGCGCCAATGATGGTTATCTAGAAAATTCATTGAATTTTAACAAAATTTGAAGAGATGTTTGAAGAGACTCTTATGGGATTTGAGAGCTCTATTTAAAGAGACTTTTGGAGATTCAAATAAGAGACTTTTGGGAGAAAGAAAAGGGAGTCGAAGAAAAGGGAGTCTTTTGGTCTTTTGTTAAGAAGTGGATTCTTCCTAAAGAGGAGAAAGACTTGAAGGCTTGCTTTGGATCTGGAGGAGAAGTGGAGAAGTGAGAGATATCATCTTCATTACAGATTCCAAGTAAGTTTGGAGTGAATTGTCTAGAGAGTGAGTGATTCAAAGGAACTTGAATGATTGCTTGAAAATGAGTTTAAGATAAGTTGTGTTCTTTATTTATTTTACTTTGTCTTATTTGTAAACTTTTATTTATCTATAAATTCATGTGTTATTGTTTCTTCCCCATGAGTTCTGAGTAGTTTTCTTTTGTCTATCGCCCTACAATAAGGAATAATTAAATATAAAAATGTGGTTTAGTAGAAGTGCTTTTAAAATTCCATAGTTTCTTCTCCATGAGTTCTGAGTAGTTTTCTTTTGTCTATCGCCCTACAATAAGGAATAATTAAATATAAAAATGTGGTTTAGTAGAAGTGCTTTTAAAATTCCATAAATTGTCATGATTCAAACTCTATGCTTCATTTACTTGTCAATCTAGCCAATTGATATGTTAAAATTTATTGTAAAATGTAGTGACCCAAAATGGGCTATGTTCCAACATAGTAAGAATCACATTTAGCCTCATGGATGAGAATGTATTCCATGAGGTTAAGTGTAAATAAATAGGGAAATAAGTTTTGATGGATGTAGAATTGGAGATTTTAGGGTGACTGACTAAAATTCTCAAATTGATCCAGATGTTTGGAAACTAAAGAGAGATGTTAACCCTCAGGGGAGGGAAAGTGAGAACTCTAGAGTGAAAGCTACTATCTTCCCAACCTAATCACGGGTTTAGAAACCAAACTTTTGATTAGCCAGCGTTCTTTATGCACTTAACCAAAGGTAAGGAATAAAATTTCTCCTATTTAACCAAATACCTTAGTTACATTTTAAAATTATTATACTAAACTAATTATAAACTCATTGCAAGGGGAAGGTTGTTTTATACAAATTTGAACTCTTCATACATTATTAATTTAAGAGTAGTGGTAACTTTGCATTTTAAAACCTTTTTAAATTGTCTTGCATTTACAATTTTACATTTTCTTAACATATTAGCATCCCTTTAATTCTATAGAATTAGATATTCCACAAAAACTTGTGATAATTTACTATATAATTTTTCAACAACTAAAAAGTAGGTTTTATTAAAGTCAATTTTACAAGAGTTTTTGCTATTCTCCGTGCGATCAATACTGGGGTTTTTATGGAAAGTCCTATATTACTTGAAATGATATTTATACTTGTGTAGTACCTCTAGTGTGTAAACCATTTTTATCATCTTGACATAATATTTAATTATTTACATTATTCGCTAAATAAAAATTGGGTCAAGCTTTTGTCAGTATCTCTAAAATTAAATAATTGCGTAACTGCAGGTCGCGTCACAAGGTCATGGTAGTTCTAGAGGCTACTGACAGCGACTTTATATATGCTTAAAAAGACAAGTATTTAATATTGCTACTAGAAGATTTAAATCCCCGGCAACGGTGCCAAAAACTTGACAGCGACTTTATATATGCTTAAAAAGACAAGTATTTAATACTGCATCTAGAAGATTTAATTCCTCAACAACGCACCAAAAACTTAATAATGGTTATAGATTTGATAAAGATGTATATATAAAATATTCAATAATTGTAAAGTCACACTTATCAACGCAAGTATACGTATCACTCAAGTAATATAGGGCTCTAATGGAGT